ATCAACTCTGAAATATCAAAGGAAAAAAAAAAACTCCTATTCTTAGAAGTTCTTCTCCTAAGTTGCTCCCCCCACCCCTTTTTTGAGAGCCAAGGCAATCTTTTTATGTAATGTTTTATGGTAAAAAATGGCTAAAGTGTGTTAGCATTTGCCAGTGTGCTATTCTTTTATAGGATTCAGCTATTAAAACCTGGGAGACTACAAGAGCAATTGTTCAACTAACCTCAAAACCCTAAAGTTCTCAAGCATCCACACTAATAAGGACGAAGAACCCAACAACTTTAACCTTCTCCTCTGGACCACAGCAACCAATGCCTGGTTAAACTAGTAAATTAAGCCCTTATTCTTCTTTTCTTTTGTTCACATGCTCTAGACTAGAGAAAGAATTATCAAGACCTTAAAAGACCAAACTCCAAAAATGAAAGGAAAATAAGGAAATTAGATAACTAACCCCTCAATAAGCTAACGTTGACTGGTCATATGGAAACAAACTGAATTAGAAGCAGCTTACCTAGTAGAGACTTCAAATCCAGTTTTCTGGACTCCTGTGCATACCTCAATCTTAGCACTTAACTTATTAACTGAAATTGTCTCTGTGTCTTTCTCATTAGACAAACTGCACATTTCTCTGGGATGGGGGCCTCGCTGATTTAATACCCCAGCATGAACTCATTTAATACCCAGTACCAAACACAATTTCTCCAGCCATTGTAAACAGAAAACAAACATCCCTGAGCTGCTAAAATAAATGATACAATCGACATTCTGTGGTACTCATGCAGATGTTGAAAGGCACAAAACTGTAATAAGTCTAACAGCCTTTACCTGAAGGGATGAAATTTTAATAACAAAAATAAATACCTAAGTAAAAGGTTAGACGAGAGAAGGAGAACTATTAATAGGAAACTTTTCAGCAGAAATAGCCCCATTTACCCAGATCTCTGCAAAGGCAGGAGGAAAGGAGAGACTCTAAAGATGACAAAGAGAAGCCACAGCTGACTATCTTTCCACTTAGGAGGAGATACTTTTGAGTTTCTAGTTCATGATATGTAAATCCCTAAAACATAAAGGAAGCTCTGACTTAAAACATGGTCAGTCACAATCATAGAGCAATTAAAAAGGAAGAAGGGATGAGAAGCACACGTGCAGTGAGGCGCATGTATGTGCGTGCATGCGCGCGCTCACGCGCGTTCTCTCTCTCTCTCTCTCTCTCTCTCTCTCTCACTCACACACACCCATGAAATTCCATAGTGGAGTAAAGCTAAATGTTCGCCCTCTTCCAAGATTCTACCTGCCTGGTAAGGGTCTGTTTTGCGCTTTCACTGACAAAACAAATTATCGTTTAGATCTTGACTTTCAGAGTCAGGCTCCTTTTTCAAAGAGAGTTTGCAGGAATAATCACATGGGTTTACAGAGCCATCATTACACATCATTTTCTTGTTCATGTAGGGTACTGAGAAAGCACTCATTTTGGATGGGTAGCCCGCATTTCAAATTGATGGGTGCTCAGAGACCAGAATGAGACTTGTTCAATGGTTCTAGGCCCTGGCAGCACATGAGAATCACCTGGGGAGCTTTTGAAAAACACTAGTGCAGAGTCTCAACCCAAACCAATTAAATCAGACTTGCTAAGGGTGAGGGCTCAGCATTGTTGTTGTTTTTTTTTTTGGGGGGGGGAGGTTGTGGTTTAAAGCTCTACAAAGAATTATATTTACTTTTTTTCAGCACAGTAAAAGCAAGTGGTTTTGTTTTTGTTTTTTTTTTTTTGAGACAGAGTCTCACTGTGTTGCCCTGGCTAGAGTGCCGTGGCGTCATCCTAGCTCAAAGCAACCTCAAACTCCTGGGCTCAAGCGATCCTCCTGCCTCAGCCTCCGGAGTAGCTGGGACTACAGGCATGCGGCACCATGCCCGGCTAATTTTTTCTATGTATTTTTAGTTGTCCAATTAATTTCTTTCTATTTTTAGTAGAGACGGGGTCTCGCTCTTGCTCAAGCTGGTTTCGAGCTCCTGAGCTCAAACAATCCGCCTGCCTCGGCCTCCCAGAGAGCTAGGATTACAGGCGTGAGCCACCATGCCCGGCCTGTTTTTGTTTTTTAAGTCTTTCCTAGAGATAGAAGAAAATTTGCTTTAAAATACTCCATGGAGAGGAGTGGTTTTGATTATAGAAGATTAGCAAAATGTTGATAATTATTTAAGGTGAGTGATGGATACATAGGAATTGATGACATTATTTACTTTTGTACATGTGAAATTTCCTATAATAAAAAGTTATTTCATAGAATCAGCAGAAATAAATATTTGTTCTTTTCTCCACCAAAAAGAAAGTACAAGTGTATGTGTATAACATAGTGAATATAAAAAATATTTTAAAAAATACATTAAAATAAAAGCTTTGCAAGTGATTCTAATAAGCAGCCAGAGTTGAGAACCACTAGGCTACCTCATTGAAGGAGGGGCAACTTGATTTGGAAAAATAAAGATTTAAATAAGCAGCAAGAGGCAATCCAGGTGAGAGAGATTCAACTCAGGTTTGTGGCAAGACGGAGCCCAGTGAGGGTGTCAGGCCTCCTCTAGATGGTCGCCATCTCCAATTTCTGCCTTGCATACATTTGCCTCAATTTTGAGAATTCTCATTCACAAGTAAACTACAAATATGAACCCACACATACGTACATGCCTGTATATATATCTGTGTATACATGATTTAAGACAATACTACCAATTATATTGAGTAGCATGTAAGTTTTTAAGAACACTATTTGTGGAAATACTGCCTACGAGTTAAAATGCTTTGGTCTGTGGAACAGTCACACAAAGGCCTTCCTCAGGAGTGGGCTAGAGGGTGAGAGATGGGGGTGTAGTCTTTGTAACTGGAAAGCTCTTCATCTACCTCAGTGAGTTACAGGCACTGTTGCTTAGCGGGCCCTGGGTGAACTCTTAAATCAGGTGCTATCAGCAGGAAGAGTCAAAAAGAGCAACCAAACGGGGTATGATAATGTGCACCTGTAATCCCAGCACTTTGGGAGGCTGAGGAAGGAGGATCGCTTGAGCCCGGGAGTTCAAGACCAGCTTGGGCAACATAGCGAGATCACACTTGGGGCAGGGGGAGGAAGAGCAATCAAGTCTCAATGTAATAAATAGAGATTACATCAAAACTCCCCACCTTCTACCTCCAAAATCCCCAACTCACCTATTCTTCTCCATTTCATTGTGAGTTGATCTGAAAGAGGAAACAATAAGAACAAGATTATTCTTGTCTTAAAGGACAACTTCAACACAAACACAATTATTTTAACTTCTTTCTCTTCAAAGTTAGTAGGAGAGAAAATGGAGACAGGGAGAAAAATTCACTAGTCTCTACTAAAGAAATTAGTCTATTTGGGGAGTTAGATAAATGTAAATATCTAAAATAGAGTTCAAGAGAAAGTGACAAACCAAGAGGCATGCATTCCCTAGTGGAAAAATAATCCATTTTAGGAGAGGAAACAAAAGGGGTCTATTTATACAAAGAGAAAAACAGCTGCACAGTGCAATGGTGAATTTGGGTTATATAATACCACAAAGCTTTCTTTAGGCTAAGGGTAGAACAGTGGAGGTGGCACCCCTTCCCCACCCCTGCAATTTTTTCTAGGGGTAGCATACACCAAAATTTTATGCTAAGTTGTTTGACTATAGGATACTGTTTTAAATGGCAACATAACCCCTCTCCCCAATCTTTCAACTCCCTGAAGTAATTATTTTATCATGTACAACCTCCTGAAAAATGCTACTGTTGAATAGCTACCAATGATTTCAGGAAGGGGTTTGCAAAACTCCGCTCAACATAAAGATGACAGGGTGGCTAAAGCAGAAGTGAGGGTGAAATCTGAAGTCCAGCTTTGCCACTGACAAGTACTGTGGAGGAAATAAAATTCTTTACCATCCTGTCATTGGTTAACCCCTCTGTAAAATGGGAATTAAAATAATTGCCAATTATCTACAGAACAAGTGTGGATCAGTGAGGTAGCAACTGTAAAACTGATTAGAGCGCCTTGGATGACAGGTGTGGTAGATGTGAAATCATATTAGTGTGTTTATAGCTCACCTTGAAGACAAGGTCTGGTCTAAGACTTTATGGACGAGTTTCCACAAAGTTACAAAAGTCAGTCAATGTGGCCCCTTAAGAGTCCTCCACACATAAAGCCTCCTTAATAGTTAGAAATAAACTTGAGGAACCTCCCAGCATTAAAAAGGAGCTGAATCTTGATCTTCCTTATGAAAATTCTCTAGACTAGAATCTAACCAGCTCAGTAGTTTAATCCCTGGCTCAGGTCATGAATTGTGAGGGGCCATAATCAACACCTTACTGGGCCTAGGAGATAAATTCTCACAGCAATTATGGAGGAACACCACCTAGAGAATGTGTAGCCACTCATTTACATGGGGGGAGGGCGGCACCACCACCAGGATCAGTCACAGCAGAGGTGGGGGGTGGGAGGGAGTAAGTGTATTGAGTGTTGGGAGGGGGTTGTCTTGAAATGAGAAATTTCCGATCCAGCACTAAAACTTCTCTTCCACAAGGCCCTTGGGAGATCAGTTTTTATTTGTGAGGGAGGGGGGAAAAATGAGAAAATGACAGCATTTTACATTTTAAAGAATATTTGTTTTCTAGGTACGTGGACCTCAAAATTGGTTAACTTAAAAGCTTTAAACTGATTCCCTTGGTTATCCCTCAGCATTCTTCAGTCACATTTTTCTGAAGGTTTACTTCCTTCAATGTCCAGAAGGATACTATAGTTAACAAGAATCTTGCCCGTACTGTAAACCTTTGGCTTTAAAGCACGTGGCATTTTAGTTTCAACTGGGAACAATAAGTTCAAAGTCTGACAGATTTTTTAAGTGGATGAAAGTATATGACAACAGCTGGTCAAGATTTCCCTGTTTAACTGTAGACAAGAGCTATCCCCAGTAGGTGGAAGAGAGGAAAGTGAACAGGTTGAAAAGACAGTAGAAAATAATACTCTTAAAAAATTTCTGGATTCTCTGAAGAGATACAGATAGATAAACTGATAGATTTATATATTTTACATAAAGCTCTGAAACCACACAATAAGCTTTTTAACAAATTCCATAGGAAGCACAACTCCTTCCAAACTTTGAATGGAATTTTAAAAACTACAGATTGTATTTGATTACTTATGACTGTTGAACACATGGTGCTTTTTGAAGGGGTCTTATACCTAATGGCTGGGGCATTACTGAAATATATTTGGTTACTGAAACTGAGTTAGTCATTAATAAAAAGCAGGCCTTTCAAAAACGATCAGTTCAGAGATTGCCTGCCACCTCTGGTGATGGGTAAACATTTATATTTTTAATTAAAGCATTATAAGAACACATAGATACCTTGCATCAAAATTATTTTCCATGCGATTACTGAAAAGATTTGATAATGCTGGAATCAATGATAAAGATCGTATTTCACCATTTAAAAATATACTCTAATAGAAAGATAACTAAAGCCAAACTACAATGTACCTGAGAAATGGGAAAAGTCCTTGGGTTAGCTATATAGCTACTGTCCTATAAAAGAACTGGGTGGCAAGTCCTGAACTTCCTCTTTCATGTGAGTGCCAAAGCCCGCTTTACTAATTTCACAAAACACTTTTAAAAGCTCTAGATTTCAATTCTAATTGGTAACTAATTTCAAAAAATCAGTAGGAATGAAAAAAATTTCAATTTCCCTTATTCTAGTAGTTCTCTGGATGATTCCAAAGCAATCAATATTCACAATCTCATTTGTTTTTATTTTAGTTGTTTTAAACAAACAACTAGAGAAACTTGAAGAAGATCTGCATTTTCAGTTCCCAAGACCTTTGATATGTGGCTAAATCTTATTTTATATTGTCCAAGGAAAAGTACTCCCCCGGACTCTACAAGCAAAGAGCATAGCATTTCAACCTGTATGAACAAGAATAAACTGTTACCAAGGGGTTATGTAAACCAGAAGTAATCTCTCCCTACCCCTCACCTCAGTTCAAAATTCTGACCATACATGGCCGTGGATATAAACGGCTGATTCAAACCAAGGGGTCAAGCTGCTTTCTCTGCTAAGACTACTTACTCCTCAGGTAAGAGGGCATTCCAAACAGGTCATGAAGGAAGTGATCACACTTAAACGAAACTACTTGCTCTTGTTTCATATGTTTGTTTGGTGCCATCTCCAGGTTTAATCATGGTCTCTCAGAAATCCCTCCACCACTGAATTTATTAAACTAATTCATTATTATCAACAATACAAACAACTGTGATACCACACCCCCTCCCTAACCAAGGAAAACAAACCCATTAACAGAATAGAGCTTCCCCCCGACCCCCCAAAAATCAGGATTTGCAGCCATTTTTCAGGAATACTGCTGGTTATTAAAGAGAAGAAAAGAGAAAGAATCCATTTCTTGGCTCTGAATTCTCAACTATTGTTATTTTTCTTTCCTACTCATCTTTTGGGACCAAGCCACTCATCTCATTTTCTTCTCCCCACCACTAAACATCCTCTACAACCTTCCTGTGAAACTTAGGAAAAAATTAAGTGTTAAGGTATTAAGCCTCGACTAGTAATGTGGACAATTCATCTCAAATCATGAGTGGATGATAATAGAAGAAAAAATGGACTACACTTTTCTAGAAAAATAAACTGAAAGGCCTCAAAGTTCTTCCAAACAAAATTTTAAAAATTAATACTATAACAAAATACAATTTAATTGTTTTTATACCATTGCATAAGGCAAGTCAGTATTAACATCTTTCATAAAAGGGCCTTAGTACCCATGCACAAAACTACTGGCTACCACCTTGAGGTAATGCTAAGATGGGAGAACAAGGAAATACACCAGGTAATTACCAGGTTCATCCTTCATGTGCCTTCTTATTCAAGAGCGTGGCACAAGAGTGTGGCACAAGAGCATGGCACAAGTGTGCTGCTCACATCCTGTGGTTCCATCAACAATACTAAGGACAATGGGATGAACTAAGCACAGAAGAGGCAGCAAGAACAAGTGAGTTTTAGGTTTAAGTGGGAATGTCCTGGCTTTTAGTGGTATTAAGCCAGAGAGGCTACTCAAATAGTTACTCACAGGGTATTCATTAGGATGAGGGAGGGATAAGGATTCTAAATCAGTGATGAAAATGTCAATGATTTTAATCTACTGTCATGAAAGGTATAATCGAATGCATCTAATAAAACAGACTTCCTAGTCAACTAATATTTTAAGAGCAAAGAGGGGGAAAAAGGCAGTAACACTGATGGATTATTTACATGTACCAGGAACTATTCATAGGACTTTATTATGTGATTTCACTGACCATTAACCAATCTCCAGCTTTTTAACAACTACAGTATAAGGCAATCTGTAAGGCTAACATGAAAAGGTTGTAGCATATTAATATTTTCATATTAACTGTTCCTCTAATACCAAAGAGGTAGGGTTTTAATTTCAATCACTCTTTGCCATTACAAATAAATATGACAAATTAGATTATCAGATAAACCACTGTATTTAATTTACATGTCAAATATGAAATCCTGCTATCTATGTGCCAAAGTCAGATACTTTAATATGTTTATAAAATCTTCACCATGAAAAGTAAAAGAAATTGATAATGCCCCGCATTTTGAATTATAGAAAACTTGCCCTGAATCTGCAACTTCCGAAGGCAAAATACTGTCACTTTGCTAATCTCCCTTGAAGCTTCCACAGATTTCTGCTCCAAAAGGGAAGGAAAGCAAAATTAAATTTTAAAGAGTTCATAAAGAAATGTAAAATGTTTCTATTTTTCTTTTCTCATTCCCCTCAACCCAAACAGAAGGGTTGCTGCCTCCAATGGCTTAAGACCATGTGTGCATTACTAAATCATGATCATCACTTAATGTATTTACAGGGTTATAATCATAACAGGCAACTTACATTCTGCAGCTTGTGTCACCTACAATATGACCTAAAAGAGAAACAGAAATATTTACCAAATTACCTGCTACTGCTGTTATTCTTCTTGGATTTGTTCCTCCGTTTTAAGGCATCTCTGTCCTTGTTATTGTATGGTAACATGGAGGCATAACCATGTTCAGCTTCTAGAAAACCGGAGGATCCAGTTAATGAATGAGCCCAGAATATTTAATACTCTCTTCCCTCCACAGTGTTTCCTTTTTCATTTATTTATTTATCTTTAAAAGAATATTGTGGAAATAAATGGAGCAAGGTGGCACTCTGAAAACAATGATTTTTTAAAAAATTGTATGAATACCCTCAGTTCGGAGCAGGTGTAAGGAAGATTCCAGCTGCTCGTTGTTGAGAAAGACACAGTAGTGGCTAAGCTCACGGAGCCAGGGTTTCCCACTGGCAACGTCCAGCAGGTTGGTGTGGGTTAAGTGGGACCAGCCTCAGGCGAAGGTGCGGGACAAACAACGCGAGCTGTGGGGCAGGGGAGGCGCTGATCCTCCGCCAGAGAGTCGGGGGCTCCGGGCCCAGTTGAGGGCCAGCCGGGACCAGCCCGAATGAGGTAAACCAGAGAGAACTGGCTGAGGGGTCCCGGGCATCCCACTCACGAGGGGTTGGGGAGGGGCGGCGCTCGGGACCTCCGGGGACGGCAGCCCCTTCTTCACCCTCATTCATTGCTTTCTGGGACAGCGGCGGCCTCCCTTCGGACCGCGCGTAGGGAGAGCCGGAGGGGTTAGGAGCGCTCGCGGTCGCCCTCTCCGCGCCTCCAACCACCCCCGGAGCGGCTGGGCGCCCCGACCTGAGGCCAGGCCCCTCAGGGTCCCCGGCCCCGACTCAGGCCAGACCCCTCCCCGTCCCCGTGCACCTCTCTCCCGCCGCTCCAGATAGTCGGCCGCTTCCAGCAGCATCTGGATGTTCATCCGAACCGCCGCCGCCATTCTGCACCGGGGGCCGGAGCCACGGGACCAACCCCCACTGCCCACGGGCTCGCTCCCGCCGCTGGACACCCGCTTCCCGCTGTGGACCCCGCGGAGCAGGGCTGAGGGAGCCTCTCTGGCGACCACGCTCGCTGGGAGGGGGAGGGGGCCAGTGAGCTAGGCACCGCTGACACCGTGACAGAACCCGGAGCAGAGCAGCAGCCGCCACCGCTGCGGAGTGTTTATCCCCGACTCACCATCCCCCCGCCCCCAGCCCCTTCTTTTGACAGGCTCGCTTCGGCTGCGTTCCTCATTGGGCACCCCAAAGAATGCCCCGCCCCTGGCCTTGTGCGATTGGGGTAGGGAATTACGGCTCCGCCCCCCAAAGTCCGCTCCTCTCGCTGGTTGGTAACGCTTGACAAGGCCCGGGCTCCACCCCCTCTTTCCAATTGGTGACAGGATTCGCAACTCCGCCTCGTGCTCCTTCCCTGTTTTCCATTGGTTCTATAGCGACAACCAGGCCCCCTTTTGCTTTGTTAGTATTGGCCAAGAGCTGTAGAAGCAAGCCACTTCTCCTGTCTCCTATTGGCGAATCCTTCGGAAGCCTCCCAGCTACGATGATGTCACCTTTCTCCAGGCCCGGCGAGCCCTAAGTGGCTAATGGTCAGCGGCCAGGCTACTCCTCCCCAGGTCTGGCATTGGTTGGGAGGGGGCGCTGGGCGGCGCTGATTCACCGGCCGCTGCCAAAGTCGGCTCCACCCGGCCCCGCCTCGGACCTGTTGCCAAGACCTGTCCCCGGGGAAAACTTCTGGGGACCCGCCAGGCATCCCTCGAATGGAAGGATGGCACCTCTCGTCGCCCGGGCGCTCTGCTCTGCTCGGGTTCGGGGCTGTATGTAGCCTTTGGTCTGGCGGCCCTGGGCTCCGAGGTTCAGGACTTCCCGGAACTCCGGCCCAGGGCCCCGCCGCGAATCATCCTGAAGGGAGAGCCGCGCCGCAGCCCGGCGATGGCGGGATGGGCCCAGAGCTCGGCGGGCGCCACGTGGCTGGGACTTGAGAGGAAAAGCCCGGCCCGTGTCAAATTGTCGCCGCCCGGCGTTTTTTCTCTCCTCAGGAAGCCCAGTACACAGCATTGAACTCCTTATCAAAGACACCTTTCCCGCCCCCTCGGGAAGTGATGGCATAATTAATTACTCTCTCACGCGAGTGGGTTTTAAAAGCTTAGAAACTTCCTGAACCTACGGAATGATGTTGAACCCCAAGATTCTGTGACCTAAATCTCTTTTAGGGTCTTTCCCTCCGTTTAAATTCTAGATAAAAATATTCAAAAGAATACTCCCTTTTCAAGATGGTGTGTTTGCGCGGGGCGGGGGGGAGGTACCAATAGGAGTGCTTAATAGAATAAAAACTAAAGTTTATTTAAAGATTGTTCCCTAAACCTATCAAGATTTTTGAAATCAAAGCTATCTTGAGACCCAAGCTACATTGTTAATATACTAACATCTTCAATTTTTAAAAACAGAAATAAAGCTCTTGATAAGTTGGGAGTCCCCAAAATATAAATGAGTAAAGCATGAACATATTTCTTTTTAAAAAGTTTATTATTGTTGCCAATATATAATAATAGCTTACTATGTGTAGGGTGACTTACACCTACATTATGTCTGTTGTGTTCATTAGCTACATTTTGCACACGAAGAAACAGGTCCAGAGGGGCTAAAGGACTTTCTTTGTCATTCATTCAGCTGCTGAGATGGAACTGAAACTAGGTATGTCTCACCCAGCGCCCAAACTACCAATCCTCCCGATGGCAGTTGTACTAAAGGTAAGGCAGGTAAATAGATTTCCAGACTGAGTCACAAAACACATTCAAACACTGGGGAAAAAAGAAAACGTGTAAATGTAATTATGATGGGAAATTTTAAATGTGTGTTTTTTATGAGTCACAAACCAATTAAAATTAAACTCAACAGATTAAGTAGAATAAACAAGTCGTAAACCATGCCTGATATATAGGAAACACATTTTCTGGTTTTAATGGTTAATTGGATCTAAAAACTGAGTCTTTATGAAAACACTAATTAAATACACACACTACAAGGAAAGGTTTTCAACAACAAAAAAAATAATTGGAAATGAGAATGGGGATATGATAGTTTTAGAAAGTATTTCTTAATTGCATGTTATTTGTAAAATAAACTTGAAAATCATAATGAATGCAATTCTACTAAAGTACCAAAACTGATACAAAAATACTTTGATTTCATTAATTTAACCTTTTAAATTTTGTATATTTTCTATTTGATTTTAGTATTAACATTTGGCATATCCCTTTATTCTTTCTTACTCTAAACTCTTTATTTTAACCTAGTCCTATTTCAGTATCATTGTGATACCCCTGCAATCACCCTGATTAAAAATCACTATTTTTAAAAAACAAAAAGGAAAAAAGGTTGAAATCTGAGTCAGAGATGGCAAATTAATAATTTCAACATCAATAATTCTAGCTTACACTCCAAACAAAAAAACTAAGTTATATAAAACTCAGAGAATTAGACTAAAGAATGGACCGTTTTTGTTCCCTGGCAGTGGAAGAGATTATCAATTCCAGCAACACCAACTAGGTTAGTATAATGAAGAACTTGAAAGGGTATTTGGTGCCACCTACTGGAAATGAAGCAGTAAGTATAAAACAAAGGTTTGGGGATTTGGGAGTTTTTTCCCTAGGAATTATTTTACACAAATGTATATGATGACCAGTTCATTAAGAAAACCTAGGCCGGGCGCGGTGGCTCACGCCTGTAATCCTAGCTCTCTGCGAGGCCGAGGCGGGCGGGATTGTTTTGAGCTCAGGAGTTCGAAACCAGCCTGAGCAAGAGCGAGACCCCGTCTCTACTAAAATTAGAAAGAAATTAATTGGACAACTAAAAATATACACACACACAAAAAAAAGATGAGCCGGGCATGGTGGCACATGCCTGTAGTCCCAGCTACTCGGGAGGCTGAAGCAGGAGGATCGCTTGAGCCCAGGAGTTTGAGGTTGCTGTGAGCTAGGATAACGCCACGGCACTCTAGCCAGGGCAACAGAGTGAGACTCTGTCTCAAAAAAAAAAAAAAAAAAAAAAACCTGAAAGTACAACTTTTGAAGAAAGAACTGAAAATCCTAGGACAATACAGAAGTTGTGACCTCCCAACACCCAGTGCCTCAAAGGCATTACATAAGCATTAATTGATTGACAGGCACAGTCCCCAAAATAAAAGTTGGGCATTCTAGAATGTTTGAACCTAAATTTTATGACCAGAATTTTAAATAAAATGCATATGTAATAGTATAAATGTGGGATGACAACAGTTTATATCTTTCTTTGAGCATACATCAAGATAAATAGAATTGAGAGGCATACTTGAAAATGGGGATGTACAAAGACTTATCAGATTATATTTATTGTTTCTTAGAAAGTTAAGACCCAGTCTCCTCCTCTGAGGGGCTTATATTCCAGATGGGCATAGGATATTATGTTAAAAGGTAAATGCCAATACTGAGCAGCAGGTTCATTACATGCTATGGGAGTTCTGATGAAAAGATGATGCTTCAGTGAGTATCTCATAGTAGTAGGAAGGACAATGGTTGTCATATTATCATCCATAAGTGTCTAAAAAGTTCTAAACTGCAGGAATTTAAACCCCCTATTTATAACTGAGTTTGACACTTCCTAACCACTATGACATTAAAATGTACTTTGTTTTAAAAGGTTTTGAGAATTGATTTTGTTCCCTGAAGTATAAAATTCAGGACAGAAAGTTTCTGCTTCAAGAGTATCAATCCCTTTCTTTGTTGCTCTTTTGGACACTCTAATATCATGATATCCAACATCATGATTTTTTTCTAACATTTTAAAAAAACATTTAAAGAATGCTGCTTTGCAAAAATTAGTCACTCCAAAATATTTTCTGATTTTAAAAAATAAGGCAATGGTTAAATAAACTGTTATATATACATTACACAAAACACTATGTAGCAGGTTTTTTAAAAGGTAGCTTTACATATACTGGCATGGAAAGATCTCCAAGGAACACTGTTGAGTAAATAATTAAGCTGTAAAATGATCTCTAGATCATAATTTTTTTGTTTTTAAAAAGGACCAAACTATGTCGTTTCCTCACTTCCAATTATGTTACATACATACATGCATGGACAAAGGATACATTGCAAAAGATTAGCAGTGAAGAAAGCACAATAGGATTGTGGTTTCTGCTCAAAGGGAATTTAGCTTTGTCATATTTTAAAATTTTTACAAGTAAAATTATTAGTTGGGTAACTAAAGGCTAAAAAGAAAATCAGAGGAAGTGGTTAAGTGAACAAAGATTACAGAATTCATGAATTTAACAGATATTTATTCAGTGTTTTACTATGTGCCAGGCACTATGTGGTGCTGGGGCTATAGCAGCAAACAAGACAGAAGCCCCATTTCTCAGAGCTTGCTGTCTAATGGAAGAACCAGACAATAATAAGTTAATATAAAGTATGTCAGAGAGTGATAAGTGCTGTGAGAAAAAGTAAAGCAGGGTTTGGAAAGCATGTGGAGAAATTGGAATTCTCATATATTGCTTGTTAGAATGTATAATAAAATAGTGCAGCTGCTTTGGAAAACAGTTTGACGCCCCTCAAAAAGTTAAACATAGAGTTACCAATATGACCCAGTAATTCTATTCCTAAGTATATTACCACGAGAACTGAAAACATGTTTATACAAAAACTTGTGCACTAGTGTTCATGAAGTATTATTCATAATAGTCAAAAAGTACAAACAACCAAAATGCCCATCAACTGATGAATGTGGTACATCTGTATCAACAGAAATATGGTGTATCTATAGAGTATTATTTGGCCACAAAAAGGAACAATGTACTAATACATGCTACAAAAACAAATGAACCTTGAAAATACTATGCTAAGTGAAAGAAGCCAGACACGAAAGGCACATATTGTATGATTCAATTTATATGAAATGTCCAGAATAGGTACACATGTAGAGATAGAAAGTGGTTTCCAGGGGTTGGGGGGATGAAGAGTGATTATTAATGGGTATGGGGTTTCTTTTTGGAGTGATAAAAACATTCTGGAATTAGATAGTGATGATGGATGTATAACTGTGAATATACTAATAACCATGGAACTGTAAACTTTAGAAGGGTACATTTTATGGTATATACATTTTATCTTAATTTTTTAAATGTTAAAAAAAAAGACTAAAGCAGGGTACAGGGATAAAGAGGGAAGAAAGTTTGCTATTTTGGATAGGGTAGTCAGGAATGACCTTAGTTTGATCAGAGACCTGAACAATGTAAAGAAGCTAACCATGCAAATCTGGGAGGTGGGGTAGGAGTGGGGAACATTCCAGAAAGAAAGAGCAAATGAGAAGACTCTGGGGGTAGACACATGCCTGTTTTCAAAGAACAGCCAGGAGGCCAGCTAGTACAGCAGAGTGCAGTAAGCAAGCAGGTGAGGCCATGGGAAGCCAGGATCTAGATCATGAAGAGGCCTGTAGACCACACTGAGGACTGGACTTTATTCTAAATGACAGAAAATCACTGGAGCCAGGAGTAATGCGACCTGATGCACATTTCAAAGGTTCATCTCTGCTGCTGGGTGGAGAATAAATAGGCAGCGAGAGTGGAATGAGGGAGACCTATTAGGAGGCTATTGCAGTAGTCCAAGTAAGAGAGCTTAAATTAGCATAGGTTGTAAAAAGTGGTCAGATTCATTGGACTGAGTTTAAGAAATGAAAATAGAAAAAAGAAAAAAAAAAGTGGTCAGATTCAAAAAGCACTCTGAGGTTATAGCCAAAAGGATTTGCTAATCAATCAGATGTGAGGTGTGGAAGAAAGATAAGAGTCAAGGAGGACCCCAAGGATTTTGGTCTGAGCAATGGAATGGATTGAAAGGGCCATTTACTGAGATGGGGAAGCCTCAAGAAGACTGGGCAGGGAAATCAGAGTTCAGTTCGGTTAATCTTAAATTTGAGAAGCCTAATAATCTAGTTGTCTAGACCAGACTACAATTCAGTAAAATGGTCAGGCTGGAAGTATAAATTTGAGAGCCAGG